CCGGCACCGCTCGCCGCCGAACCGGCTGCACGCCGGGGGTTGCTCCGGCGGAGGGGGGAGGGAAACCACCCCGCTCAAGTGCTTCAGCGTTTCGCTTGCCTGTGACGCGAGCGCCGCGGTGACCGTCTCCGCCGCGTCTTTAAAGTTGCGTGTCATTTAGGGCGTGCGAGGCTCATTAGCGTGCGTGCTAATGAGAGGCAGCCCCTGTGACACCCTAAGCGGCCTTTGCTCCCGTAGCCGTGGGGCAGGTCTGCGTGCAGCTGGCCCGGCTGGTTGTCTAGAAGCGCGTATGAAAACCCGAGGATGGGTAAAAACTGCGCATTTGCTGCATGGGGGGTGGGAAGTCCTTTTCTGAAAATTATTGCATGCTTTCTTAAAATAGGGACCCTCATATAAATCTTTAGTTGGCACTTTCTGGTTTTCTGCTTGCAAAGTGCTTGAAATGAAGCAAGCTCTTCTATTCTAGAACTTAGTGGGGTTATTTCTAAGCACTCTGTAAATCTGCTGAAAGTAGATTGCATTTTTCAGCTGGTTGTTTTTTTTTTTCGGGGGGGGGTGTGTTTTCCTTGTTGTAGGAGATCATGATGGCCCAAAAGATTTTTAGAATACGTTTGCTGTTCTGCTTTCTGGCTGCATTCTTCATCTCTGCCCGAGCTGAGGAACACGCAGGAGAGAGTCAACATGCAAATATTCGCCTTGATAAGAACCTGGTACAAGATAAAGAGTATGTGTTTCATTTTCTAAAAATGTAAACTTTACTTCTTAATGACTTCCTTATCTCTTAATTCTTGTTATGTGAGTTGGACTTAAGCCTAGGGCACGCTCTTTTCTCAGGATTTTGTATGACTAGCTAGAGTCAGATAAGAAACATGCTTGCTCAATGCGTTTGTAGAGATACAAGACCTACAAAGGTCTCTCTGGGGCCTTTAGCCCTATGCATACTATAAAGAATCTCTTAGAGGAATCCTCCTTACCTAGATCAACATGCTTTAGACAAAATCATATTCTGAACAGGTAGAGTGAGAGGGTTTTTTCTCATTTGCTTCTTCATACAGACAAAACAGTAGTAGCAGGAAATAAAACTCCCTAGAATACTTCATGTTTGACTGGGAAAGATTTTCCTCCGGTTCCTGTGCTTTGGAAGACAGCCAAAAGGAGATTCGGGGCACTGCTTCTGTTGTTTTGATAACCTGCTAAGTAGGCCAGAAGAAATAAAAATAGGTACCTAAGGTGTTAGAGGCCACTGCAGCACCTGTAACAAACAACCTTTGTACCCACTTCACCTTATTATAAAACTGTAGCGTTTGGTTGTCCAGGGTGCTTTTAGAGAGAAAGTATTTCCTGTGTGCTTGACTGTCTGATCAAAGACTACGTTTGATGTAAACAGAGCATTAAATATTAACTGATGGATATGTTCTGGGTTTTGTTTGTTTATTTCTTTTCTTAGCCACATCATGGAACATTTGGAAGGTGTTATTGAGAAACCAGAATCTGAGATGTCTCCACAAGAATTGCAGCTTCATTACTTCAAAATGCATGATTATGATGGCAATAATTTGTTAGATGGGTTAGAGCTCGCTACCGCTATATCACATGTCCACAAAGAGGTAGGTGGAATTTTGTAATGGCATGTGTGTTTGGAAACAGTTCTGACTCTCTAAAAGCAGCTTACAATAGAACAGAACAGTTACAGCACATCTTCAGTTCACTTACAGTTTTGCCTGAAGATGAGATTATTTTTACCTTGATAGTTTTGGTTTGATTTATGAATGCGCTAGCTTTATCGCAGCTTTTCATGTCACATGGCAGTTTTCAAGTAGTCTCCATTGTAGTCTAAACTTCAGAGGGAGGAAGGACTGTAGAGTGACAGTGATTTGTCTGAGGGGATACTTTGGTAGGCAGGGATGGGGAGAAAGGGAAATTATTCAAAATAGGATAATGCTGATGAAGATTTATAGAAATAGCACGTGACACAATGTTGTTTGAGGTTCCAAGGCTGCAGTTTTCAACTCCAAACTGTTACTGCTGTGGATATGCAAACTTTAAGAGACCTCTTGCACAAAATTAGTATTAGAAGAACTAGTTATGGCCTGCCTTTTTCTAAACACAAATTCTATTTCCAGATAGGAATGTTTAAGGACAAATTAGGAAGATACAATCATTAGGAAGACAATACTAACACATTGTCTCGTACTGACCTTTTGGAAGTTACAATTCAGAATGGCATGACTTCCTGCATACACCTGTGGCAAAAAATACCTAGCTGAAAACAGAATAATGGCTTGCTGTTTCTTGTGCAGAGGTACCTCTTTGTATTACCCTTTGCTTGTAAGGGGTGTTACAAAGAATTATACTGACTTTAAGCTGCAGTGCTGGATTTTTCACTACTCTGTTACTGTCAAGCTTTGCATTTTGCAAGTTCTGACACAGGAAGATGTTTCTGTACTGTATAGAAACTATAGTGTCGATACTACATCAAGATCCAAATTAAGAATACATCTGTTAGATGATTATCCATCATTATACACTGTACTATTCAGCCTTTAGGACTTTCGGCTAAGAATATTAACGGGCTACAAGACTGCTTGTTCTGAAGTCCAGAGAACTTAGACTTCATAGCTTGCAGCTGGTGAAAGTTGCTTGTATTGGTATAAATGATTACATAAAACTTAGTGCCAAATTAGGCACCAAACACGAACAGCTTAACAAAAAATTAGTTGTCAGTAATCTGTCGTATGTGCCACTAGATGGGAAACGGCTAAACTGTTCAATGTATTTTTGTTTTTGTAGGAAGGTGGTGAGCACACCCAGGCAATGAAAGAAGAAGAGCTGATTAGTCTAATAGATGATGTCTTAAGAGATGATGATAAGAACAATGATGGATACATTGACTATGCAGAGTTTGCAAAATCACTGGAATAAGGTTTTGCGGGGGGCTTGTTTCTCCTTCTAACTACATGGAAATGTGAACCGGTATAATGTGATTCGTTACTGTCTCATATCAACCTCTGTGCTGTGAGAAGGAGAGCTGTACCAGTTCCAGCTGAATTTATTTGAAAGTTGTATGCGTTAAGAGATTGGATAACTCAGAGCAAGAGCCATGTTTGACTAAACGTAGCTACACATTTGAATCTTGAAGCATGGAAGCGTCAACAGTACTCAAACAGGGTACAGCTGGCAAACTCTTAAGTAGCTGTGTTTGAATACTAAACAGATCATATACAACCTAAATTTCAGGTTTTCTGTCATTTGGTTATATAGTACTTCTTTTTTTACATCTTCTATTTAAACTTATAAAATACCTAGAAATCAAGAAAAGATTACTGCATATAGGTGTATTTCAAGGATAAATGTCCTTACCTTCCCACTAATTACAAAGGAAATTTGCATATAAGTACAGGTGCTTGAAACAGCAATTGTAGAGGAAAAGCGTTTGAATTTGGTTTGTGTTTGAGGTCCACATGATACCATATGGACTTCGTTAAAGTCTGTAGGAATTGACTATTTTTAAATGTATGTACTTCCTAGCATGCCCTTACATTTTACATATAAACATATAAACGTGTGGTTTTGAATTTATTCTCATCCTTTACAGATTTACTTTTATATGTTAATTTACTGATATTTTTTCATTACCTTCTGTGGTGTTTTCTTAAGGAAATGAAAGTATTTTTATTAGATTTATATGTTGTATTAATGCTGTATATCATTTACTAGAGTAGCTTTTGCTGCCTCATTTTGAAGGTCACATTAACAGTAAACCAGTTTTATATTAAAGCCTCTGTTCAATTTGGTTTTTACAGTATTAGCCAGCAGGATAATCTAAGTGAGCAAGTAATGCTGCCTTGGTAAGGTTTAAGTTCATATTCCATGACACTTAAATTACGGTATTACTTTCAGGAGGTATTTCATAACTAACAGTTTCAAGCTACTTGAGTGTTTGCAAATTAACATGGTTCTAGAAATGTTTTCACTGTCTTGGCTCAGTACTTAGTAAGTCAAGCAGTTTAAGGATATTAGAGAAGTGATGTATTGCTGTGTTATTGCTATTTGGTGACTCTAAAACAACTGAAATCTTAAATTGCATTCAGTCATTATCCATTGATACAGGATCTAAATGTTAGCATATTTCTGTAAAATGTATAAAGAACTATTTTCTGTAAAAAATTATTCTTCTACAAGAGAAACACATTTGTAAAAGAAATTATTTCCCCTGTTTAAATGTTTGTGCAATGAATCCTGAGTGTCGGACTTCTTTCTTGTACTGATTTTTTATTTTGATACCTTTGTGGCCAGGGTTGTGCTGGTTGTACAAGCAATAAAAATAAGTTGGGGTTCGTGCACTCTGAAACTAGACACATGAGTCCTAGTGGGAAATGTACCTAATTTTCTGATGTATTTTTAACCCTGTCTCTGTTACTAGCAGTCATCTTAAGAGAAAGTTCTTCTTTCAGTTAAAGCATTTTTTTAAAGTATCTCTTTTGAGGGAAATCAATCTGGAGTGAATGTTTGATCAGCAGAAAGGATAAAAAATGCTTGCGGGTAGGCGAGGAGAAGAGGTTAAGCTCCTCGGCTTTGAGCACTTAAGGCAGGTTGCCTGTAGACCTGCCAACTTGTGTATGCTTATTGCATAAGCTTCCGAGTTTCGGATTTATTTGGGATGAAAAAGCAAAGACCAAGGAACTGACTTTTATATGCTGCTCTTAAATTATGGTTTTCTTATTAAGCGCAGTCTGTAAACTTAGTTCAGCAACTGCCTGTGAGGCACATATATATGTGTGTTTTGTTTATATATGTATTTATTAACTGCTACTGTATGTGGCAAAAGACACACACCATACAAGTTTTATATCAGAAATAATTACAATAAATGCAGGTAATGTGAACATTGTTTATCAACTATTTTAAACTTGTTTTTAAGGGTTCAGAAGTGTGTATAAATAGAAAAACGACTTACCGGAAATGGAGAATAAAATTAGCACCTTTGATTTCATGATGCACGAAGAAAGATCAAAACAAAATTTCTGCTTTCCTAGAAAGAACAGTGCAAGAAATGCTACCCAAGCTGCAACCTGCATCATCATGTCTTACTCAGCCGCCTAAAACAAATACACATACTTAATTAAGTGCACTTAAAGATAAATGGTTTAACAGCTGTCTAGGGAACTTTCTCAGTTATTAAGTAGAAAAGTGTAAAATTGCTGAGAGCAACGGTGAGTCAGACTTTTTTTTTTTTTTCTTTTTCCCCCAAACATAACTAATTTGTGAGCTAGTTGTAGCTCATGTGGTACCCTAAATATGCTGGTACAGCTCATATATACATACAGTATTTTCTATGTCATATATATATATAAAATATAGAAAATACAGCCTTTACGACATAAGTACTCATCAACTTTATAGTTTAACAACTTTATAGTTTAACAACTTTATAGCTGTTTTACCTTCTGTAGAGCAGTACTATCTCCATTTCCCAGAGAAGTAACAAAGCAGAAGGGGTGTGTGATTTACTGAAGGTCAATCCTATCCCTGGCAGAAACAGATAACCGAGAGAACACTGTTGTGGATGATCTTCACCTCTTCCTAGTCTATGATCTCAAGGGATGGGGATTAGTTTTCCCCATTAGAGGAGAACACATCTGGCCTTGCATTACTGTTATGCTATGTGCCCAGTTTAAAGTATCTAGATTATTTGCTTTTACCTGACAAAATACTGCATAAGCTAGCAGCTGAAGAAAATACTTAAACTTGTTCTTGAAGCACTCCTAAACTGAGTAGGTTTTTTATTAGTTGATCTAGAACAGAGTCTGCATATGAAGGAGAAAAATCTTCACTGCTTGTCCGGTGCCTGTCAGAATGCTGTTAATGATAAGAATGACTGCCTAGAACTTCCCAGCAACAGTTTTATCTGCACATTCACACAGGCTTTGCTACCTTTTGTTTTTTTTTTATTTTAAATTAATCACCTATAACCTCAAAATGTCTTAGATTCATTAAGGAATGGTTACAGGCTTACAAATCCCGATTTCATGTGAAGTATTTTTTAATACTAAAATTCACAAGTGGAAGAATGCTTAATTCAGGCATAATGTCATAATCTATATAGCCACTAGATAGCGTATTGACACTGCAAATTCATTACCTGCGGTCTGTAACTTGGAGTGATTCAACAACCTGTATTTCCCTAAACCATCACCGCTACTCTGGTTACAGGCAAGGCTTGCTCCTCTGTCTTCCAGCACCGCATTGCCAGTATGATGCCCGCGTTTTCATTACTTTACACCTGCCATAAATATTGATCACAGCTGGGACTGGTTACCGGTAATTAATTTTCATTGTTTAGGAAATCCAAATCCACTTGAAGTGATAGTAAAGAAACTTGCATTGTAATATTGTCAGTAAAAATAATTGCGTAACAGGAAGGCTTTCTAACAGGAAGGCACCGGGCTTGGCCTGACTTCTTGACCACCTCTAGGTGACCTATAAGAGGGTCTGTGAGGAATTACAGTGGTCTCGACCAACGTTAAAGAACATCAGAGGGTTTTAGTAGGACCTGGAGTCTTACTGGTTTTGCATCAGATGTCACTAAGAGCTTCTGTCACTGTTCTTACAAGGCATAGGTCCAGTGTGGTCTAATCATCCATTTTGCCTAAGGTGAGGCTTACTGATTTTTTCTTCCTCCCCCATTACGGTCTCACTGTCTGCCCGTTGCACCCTGGAACAGCTGCATAACGGTCCAAGTTTTTGGTAAACAAATTAGAGCAAGGATCATTGCATACCTTAGTGGGAATTATTTGTTATCACAAAGACTTTGTGTGCTAAAAGTTTCATCAGCACAGATTCTCTGTCCACATTGAGTGAGATCCATTACAAGGGCAGTTATTAATGCCTTACAGAAGGTTTCTCTGAAGTTACATTTTTCTCCCCATTCTTCGAGGTAAATCCTGAACAACAGCCTAAACCTTAAGGGTAATACATACTGTAATTGTCACTACCTTCCTCAGCTAAGCAGGAGTTTTACATGTAGGTAGAGGGCAGTGTAACATATGACTCAAAGTCTACTGCCAGATATGAAATTTTACATGAAATCAGTACTGCGGTGAACTCAGTGTCAACTTCTGCCACTTTATCCAACTGAGTGACTGACAGCACTAGATTTCAAGAAGGCAAATGTCAATAAACTCCGAGAGTAGGTAGGGAAGAGCTCATAAGAGGGAAATATAAGAGAAAAATTATGGAAAGCTGTTAGTTCCTTCAAGAAATGCTAATAAGAAACCAAGTGCAACCTATGCCAGTTTAGAGGAAAGTAAGGGAATTCAGCAGAAGTCAACCAATTCACAACCTTTTAATTGACCACAAACATAAGAGAGATATATCGTTAATGTAGAAACTAGGTCAGTTGGTTGAGACCCCAGCACAGTACTCCATTCATGGCGGGGTTGGTGGGGTGTATACAGCTAGTAAAGACAAAATGTATCAAGCAAAACTTACCAAAAGTAAAAGAAATTTTACAAGTAAGGTTGTAAGAGAAAACCAAAGGGAAGTTTGGACCACTGCTCAAAGATGGGGTGCTATCAGAAAAGGATGTTGAGGAAGCCAAAGAGTTTAATGTCCTTTTTTTCTCCCTTTTTCATCTATCTTTACTAAAGAGGGCAACAGCAAGCAGACAGTGCAATTATTACCAGGAGAAGTGGGTAAAATTTCAGCCTAAAGTATGTGAAACCTGCTTAGAGAGGAACCAGTTAAGTTAGATGTTTTCCAGTTGCCTGAGCCTGATCAGGTTCATGCTAGGAGTCTTAAAGGGAGGGTGAAGTAATGGCCATAGATGTCATACAGCTTGAATTTATTAATTTTTATTTTTTTTTTGCAAGGCCTTTAGCAGTACGTCCTATAATATCCTTATGGACAGGGTAGTGAACTGTGATCTAAATGAAACTACTGTGGGAAGGGGCAGGAGGTCAAGTCTGGTTGGCTAATTGTATCCACGGGGTAATTCCATCGTAACCTACCAAAATACACATCTTGCAAGGAATTCTGTGG